AAATCCAGAGAGGTTTAAATCCAAAACTTCACCAGTCATTGAATTCCTATAGAACATGAAATATCCTCCACTAGGAATCTATCCATGGGTGGTTGGATTTTGTGGTGGTAGAATAAGTCAAAAAGAAGTTGGATGTAGTAGTTAAATATAATTAAGGCATCAAATTAGAAGCCCGGAGACTGTGAATTGTAGTCCTGCCTTAGTCTCTCCCTTAACCATAGGAAGCAGGAAAGTGCAAACCACTTCTGATATCTTGCCAAGAAGCCTGTAGGCTTGGCAATTGCCAGGGCAATTTTCTCCTTTGAAGATTTGATAGAGTCACATATTTTTGGTCAAGATCTTGCTTCAGCCCAGGGTAAGCATAAATGTATCATTAAAAAATGATCCCACAATTTGAAAATGGTTTTCATCTATTTACATTTTTTGGTCTGAATTGATTTACATAGACACACACACAAATGTATTTAAATATAATTTTATGGTGAAGAGGAAGCAGTGTTCTTATCTGCAGGGTCTCATAACTTCTAACCCAATCCTATGCAAAATACATGGACGCATAAATTAGTTAAATGGACACCCAAGTCTACATGAAATCATACTATTAAAATGAAAGGGTGAAAAAGATATAGTCAACTTCTAGTGGTTGCTTCTCATCTTAACTAATGCAATATTTTTCCTCTTTTTTTTTTCTTTTCCTTCTGTACAATCATGTCCAATTGTCAAAGACTACTTAGAAAAATCCCAGCAGTTTTTTTTGACAAGATTTTTCAAAAGTAGTTGCCGTTGTCTTCTGTCTAGGGCTGAGGAAAAGTGATTATCCAGCTGGCCTTGTGCCTAAGGGAGGACTAGAACTTATGGCCTCCTGGTTTTTAGTCTGATGCCTTACATGTCAAACTCATTCATTTCTCTCATTACTCAAAACACAAGCTATTTTGTCTAATTTTCTAAGTTGGTTTTCTATCTTTCCAAGAGTTCAGCACATTCATCCTTGTTTGGAAAACCCCCCAGAACTTTATTCCACTTTTATCTTTCTGTACGCATTTATGATGTTATGTTCTTGCCAGTAACTATCATTCTCTAATTCTGTCACTTCAGATAATGTGAAATCTCTTGCTCTGCCATTTATTCATTTTTCCCAACTTCCCCTTTTCCTTAAATGGCATGCTAGGACACCTACAAGTTATTCATATGCTTATTTTTCTGAATCCCAACTCAAAATGTTTAATTCTTGTGAAGATTCTGACTGGCTTCACACAATGCATTACTGTAAGCTAGAATTTGTATTTAGAATAGAATAGAATAGAATAGAATAGAATAGAATAGAATAGAATAGAATAGAATAGAATAGAATAGAATAAAATAGAATAGAATAGAATAGAATAGAATTTTTATCGGCCAAGTGTGATTGGACACACAAATTTGTCTTGGTGTATATGCTCTCAGTGTACATAAAAGAAAGATACATTCATCAAGATTTTTTTTTAAATCAATGATTTTTTATCATTTCTGCTTTTTATCCCCTTTTTTCTTGATATTTTATCTGTCAATATTTTACAGAGCTTACCGGTTAAGTTATATTGAAAAGATACTCATTGATGCTACTGAATAAATAATAACTGAATGCTACTGAATAATAATAATAACAACAGTCAGTCCTAATTAGGAGTTAGGGACTTAGGAGCAAAATTTTGTAGGGTAGTTATCTGAATGGAAGACTTTGTTCAATTCTTGATCTTTGTTCTGAAGGATGAACTGAGCAGTAAGCAGAATTAGACTCTTATGCGTGAAACAGCAACACATTCAGGTAGTCCTCAACGTACAACAGTTCATCTAGTGACCATTCAAAGTGAAAAAAGTAACTTATGACCATTTTTCACATTTGCAACCACTGCAGCATCCCCACGGTTCAATTTGGGTTCAATTGTGGTCATAAGTCAAGAACTACTTGTACATGATCGAAATTAAGACAGTTGGCAACCGTTTCATATTTATGATGGCTGCAGTGTCACAAGGTCATATGATCACCTATTGTGACCTTCTGACAAGCAAAGTCAATGGGGAAGCCAGATTCTCTTAACAATCGTGTGACTAATAACTGCAGTGATTCACTTAACAACTATGGCAAGAAAAGTCATAAAATGGGGCAAAACTCACTTAACAAATGTTTTGCTTAGCAACAAAAAATTTGGGTTCAATTGTGGTCATAAATCAAGAACTACTCGTACATGTACCGGTATATCTAAATGAAAGATTTGAGATTTTGAAATCAGAATTCAAAAATTCAGAAGAACATGATACAGAAAAAAAAAGTCATAGAGACTGGTGAGGGGCAGATGGGTATAAATCATTATTCCAGCAGGAGATGCTTTGGGACTGTAGCTCTGAGATTATCCAACCAGTAGGGAGGAAAAAATGGTCTGTAAACCAATCTTTATTAGCCAAATAATTACTTATACAATGTGGACTTCTAATCTGATTTTTCCTAGTACCTGCCCATGTGTGCTGAGAGCTCATGGGAGCTAAATTCTAAAACATCTGATTAGCACAGATTGGGGATTAGATGAAAAAAATCCTTTGATAATTTATGTTCAAAATTCTCATAAAGTTGAATTTATATAAGTAAGGAAACCAACTTGCACTCACAGAATTCTCTTGTGCCATGAGAAGATGCTTTCCAGATAATCCCTCAAAATTCTTTATTCTTTTTCATTTTTAGAGTGAAGTCTGAAGTGGATTTAAATGATTTCATACTTTACATACTGTATCTCCATTTCCTTCCTTGTTTTGTACTTTGTTTTTGTCACAGGAGTAGAAAACTATTTAGAATTATCCATAAATGTATAAGGGAAAAACTAGTTAAGAGCACTATAACTAAGACTATAAAAGAGTCATAAGAATGTTTCAAGAATGTTGAAAGTCAATGTCACTTTTCCCCAAAAATGAGGTGACTACATAGCACTAACTAGGTCATCAGTAAACTACATAGCACTAACTGGCCCCATGTACGAGTGGGTGTACCTAAGTGTGTACAGACATACAAGAGATGTCTTGTATGTCTTATACAGACATAAAGACATACAAGAGATGTCACAACTAACTGTGCTATAGAGAAAAGCATATGCCAAAGATAGCTTCTGTATGTGCTTCTTTCCTATACTTCACTAAATGAAGGAATGTTGAAATTTATGTCATTTGGAGCTGATCCCTTGCAGCCAGATTCTGTGTCAGGTTTGCCAAAAAGCATCCGCTGCATCTGCTATTTCCATCTGCAACCTATCTTGTTACAATCTTATCCTGATGCTCCGAAAGAAAGGAAAAGTTCACAGCAAAAAAACAAGAAAGAGTCTCAGTGCCAGAGCACATGCCTTGCACGTAAAAGGTCCCGGATGCAACCCAAATGTCTCAGAAGATGTAATCAGAAAAACCTCATTGCAAAAGCCTCGTTGCCTTTATCCAAAACTAATGCATGGATCCATTCAAGACAGCCATCTCCTTTTTACTTTCTAGCTACTCATTCTTCTTCCTGGGTTTACCTTATCCTCAAGGTTTATTCATCCTATAATGAACGTTGTGGCTTCCATTTAGCATTTATATTAACACTGAGCTTTTGCTGAAAAAGTATCACATCTTGCTCAAAGATTGTTAAGAGTTGGGCACTGCAGTCAACATTAACTGAAGCGAGTCGCCAATATCTGTGACAAAATAAGGGAACAGCAAAATGCCTTAATTCCTTCCACATGTAAATGTGGAACTACTGGTATAAACAACAATGAAATATGCTGTGAAGCCATTTTCCACCGTATGCCTCCTCCTCTACTTTGTTTTGTTGCCATGAAACTCACTATCCTTGGATGCTTCATTTGTCCTCAGGAAGAAACCATTACCTCACAGCCGATTTTAGAGGTTGACTCCTTTAACGAATTTCAGCCACCTTTTCTAAGACAGAATATGTAATGCTGGAACTGCACTGTTTTACCCCAAATCATAGGAGGCACGGTTTTCCCTTAGATGGATTTATCCAGCCTCATTAAATCCTATTACTTGGTTCAAGATCAATCCGACGAAAATATCCGGTTTCCTCTTTAGGGATGCGTTGTAGATATGGAAACCTCCCTTTCAGCAGCTCACAAACAGATAACTTAAATCGGTGATGCCATTCTCAAAAGACACAAAGGGGCAGGATTCTACGGTCATTGTTATTAGACCGGTTTATAGACGAAATGAATACTTCGGTCCATAAGTAGAGGATCCCCGGGGGCATAACATTCAAGGCAACTTACGACAGAATTGGAGAGAAAGGCGAGAAGAATCACCTTGTTTCTCCCGGGCGTTTTCGGGGGTCTACATAGGGAAACCGAGACGTCCCGCTACGGCCGCACTGGTATGTCCGCTGCAGAAGGAGCGGACCGGGAGGCACGGAGGGCAACAGTGCAAGCGGTAGATTGCGTACCTGTGTGTGCGCAAAACACCCGGCCCAGTTACCGGCGGGGTTGCAAAGCAACCCCTCTGTCGGAGCGGAGGGAAGCACAAGGCGATGCAACGAGCGTGGTCATGCAAAACCGTCACATGCAAATGGTTAACAACGTGTTTTGCTCCGGGCCGCCCGGCGAGAGCAGGCACCTCCGCTCCGTCCTCACCTCCTCTCGGACTCCCTCCGCCTCCTCCTGAGGCACTGAGGTGCTGCTGCCTCTTTCGCTGCTGCTGGCCGCGGCCGCCGAGGCTGGGGGGGACATGGCGCCGACCGGGGGGCCTCTCGGATGGGCGACCAGCAGGCACGGCGGCGGCGCATTATCCCGCCAAGGCGAGCCGACGAGCGCCACCCGAACGGCTGCGTCGGGGCCGGCAGCCCGGCGGCGAAAAGGCGGCAGCCTTCGGCGCCTCCATCAATCCGGGGGCTCTTCGGCTGCTGCGGCGAGGGCTTGCCCGCTCCGCGAGGAAAAGCGACGCGGCGTTTGCGGCGGGTCCAAGATCAGCGCCTGCCCCGCGGACTCGGCGGCTTCGCGCCTGAGGGACTCTCGGCGGAGCCTAAGCGAAAGCTCACGCAGCCCGCCGGCCGTGCACGCACCGCACGGGGATGGGCAAAGGGCGGGAAAAGGGGCGGGAAATGAAGGCGCTGGTGCGAGGCGAGGCAGCTGCTCAGGTGAAACCGGGGGTCGCGAGGTTGGGAGGGGGGGAAAGGCAGAGGGCGGAGGGAAGGTGGCGAGGAAGGGGCGCCTCAGCGTCCTCGCGCCTCTCTTCCTCTCCTAATCCAGGCGCGAGTGACCTTGAGGCTCCTGAGGCTCCAGTCTCAGCTTGCCTCTCTCGCCCCCTTTGTCTGCCCGGCTCTCTGGGCGGTAGGCGAGGAGAGAAGCAGCCACAGCCAGTCGTTCGCGCTCGCTTCTTTAGCTCCCTCCTCCTCCTCCTCCTCGGCCCTCGCACCTCCCTCTCCCCTCATTCACAGCCTGGGAAGAGTCGAGCCTCTTTCTCGGCGCGCCAAAGCACTGAAAGGCTTTTCACGCGGGCCGAGGCACGAGCGAGTAGGGATGGGGGGGGGGGCAGTCCAGATTACTTTGCGAGACCACAAAGCCCCACCGCGTGGGACAAGCCTGAGTGGGCTCGATAGATCTTGGCGCATCCCTGTTTTCTTCAGTTCGCCTTCACTGCAGCCAAGTTTTAAATAATGCGTGGCTCCGGTTTTAAAAGAGGGCAGCCCGATTTCCTGCGCACGCACACACGCAAATATTTCGGAAAGATTTTCCGAAGGAGTTTTATGGATGGGTACCAAAGCCCCATAACTAATGCATGGCCTGTCTTATAGAATTAGCTCACTTGCTAAATCGGCTAGCCAACTCGCTGCGGACAATTAGAGTTCTTGTCAAAATAGATGAAAGGATGAGTCCCAAAGGCTCCATTAGTGGCCAAAATGAATAGCCACCCTGCCAGATGTATGTATAGACGACGAAGCGGAATCTAGTTCTGAAAACAGTGAATCTCAGGCATCATAGATTGTGTTTCAAAGATTCATTCAAAATGCCAGCAAAAGGTTCCTTTCAGCTGAAAAGGGTGGAGGGGAAGGGACTGTGTGGCTCTTTCTGCCTAGTTTTGAATCCCTATAGAAAGATTATACGTTTTTATTTGAAAAGTAAGGCGTGTAGCTTTTACAAACCCAGCAATAAGTTTGAAAGCTATGAGTAGGAAAACATTTTTGGAGTGGAAGTTGCATTTAGTGGTATGCAGCATGGCAGAAAAACCAAATGCATACATAGAACACTATTTAAAGAAATGCATATTTAATTGGCAACTCTATATTCTGCCTTCAGTAGTAATCAGCCAGATGCTTCTGAATCATAACAAAAACATAGAAATCTTAGTGGCCAGGACAACACACTCCCTATCCCTCCCTCCCTCCCTCTCCTCTTCCTCCTCATCCAACATTACTTATGAACCTTAATATATGATATGTAAGCTTATGATATGTATTTGGTCTATTCCATTATAGATGCTTTCATTTGTTCATTTAACCCTTGAAGCTATCCACAGGCATATACAACTGAGGAAATTGAAATTAAATTTTTTGAATTGTTTTTCTAAATTTTCATAAAACTAGAACGCATGCCTCCAATATCAGTGGCAAGTAAAGAGCAATTTGCAAAGGTTACAACTGAAAGATACAAGAATGGGAGCACAATCCCTGAGGACTATTGAAACAAACCATCCAAACAAAAGGGAATCTATAGCAGATCTTTCCAAGCTGGACAGCAAGAGAAAATCTCAGCCAGAAAATTACTCTGAGGGAGCAATAACTTACTGAATACAAAAACAGAGCAGCATGCAACATGGTTCTGTTCTGTTCAGAAAAATAATTGGGTGTAGATTGTGCTTATTCTCTGCCAACAAGAAAATAGAAAGGCAGCACTCTAGGGAACTCCCAGAAGTGCAATAATTCAGTTCAGGGCACTTGGGAGAAAGAGCACGTGGGGAAAGATGCAGAAAAACAGATGGGCCATAGTTCACAGCATGATGCAGACAGAATTTCCTACTTGAATTTAAGATTAGCACCAAATCCTCAGAGCTCCCAGGATCTGATGCATCCACACCTGGACTCCCTTGCTGGAGGTCTGAAAGAAAAGTATTAGCTTAGTCCTGCCTGCAAAATGTCTGGTTCTCTCTGCTAGGTAATTCCATCAGGAATATCCCAGACCTAGAGTTGTTGGTTGGGGAATTCTGGGAGTTGAAGTCTACACCTCTTAAAGTTGTCGGGTTGAGATACTGCTCCAAACTCTTGTAGTTGAACTGTGGGTAGATAGCTGCTTGGGTATTTTCTTGCGGCTGTTTTGAGGTTGGTCACCAGGTTCTGTGGTATAAATGTTAATGTTATTTGCATTTGGGATAAGGAGGAGACATGATTTATCTCCTTGATGCATTTCTACATATTGATTTAAATGGAATTAGAATATGCTACATCTACTTTTTTTACAGAAAGGCCATATCAACGAGTTTTGTGAATTTGAATGCCTCCGTTAGGCTCTCCATCCTTAAAATTCCCTATTCAGAGCTCCTGTATTCTAATTCTGAGTATTCAAAATTTCAAGAATGGGGCATTTTCTAAGTCAGTAAAACAGTTTCCTATATGGCTGCTCAACATTTGATTTTTCATTGTAAGCTTATATCCCAAAATGAGTAAGAATTGTTCTTTATTTTCATTTGTAATGGCTTGGCCCTCATATGTTGACAAATAACAGTTGTGTGTCTGCAAAGGTTAGTTTAGTCATGTCCCATTGAACACAAGAGGCGAGTAGAAATTAAGTGGAGATATTCTGTTTTAGAACTCCACTCAACCCTGAACGCTATTTGAATTCTGGATGACAATGTATTTCTTGAAGTTTCTTATTCAATCCTAGGGCATATCTAAATAGCCAGTCTAATGTGCTGTACTTTTTGAGGCAGCACAAAGATACCAGCATAAATATGCTCTGTGTATAAAGCCAATCTCAACTTTGCTTTGTTAAGGAGGCTGGTGAGTAGTGCTGTCTTAATAGTTTACTACAGGGCAAGATAAAATGCAGCACTTGCTAGATTTTCCTGCCAATGAGAAAAGCATCCATCAATTGTTCTCCCTGATTTGAAATGGGACTGTTGGGGATACAGGGAATTCAAGTAATGTTGGAATAGCAACATGGGATTTAGCTGGAGAAATTACTTTGAAATAATCACAATTGTGAAATTTAATTTGATTAGAGTTACTTAGGATGTGGGTCAGAGGTGGGTTTCAGCAGGTTCTGACCAGTTCTGGAGAACCGGTAGTGGAAATTTTGAGTAGTTCGGAAAACCAGTAGTAAAAATTCTGACTGGCCCCGCCCCCATCTATTTTCTGCCTCCCAAGTCCCAGCTGATCAGGAGGAAATGGGGATTTTGCAGTAACCTTCCCCTGAAGTGTGGAGGGAATGGAGATTTTATAGTATCCTTCCCTGCCACACCCACCAAGCCACGCCCATCAAGCCATGCCATGCCCACCAAGCCACACCCACAGAACCGGTAGTAAAAAAATTTGAAACCCACCACTGGTGTGGGTATACCTTCCAACAGTTCCTTCCAAGAAAAATGTTTTTTTTTTAAAATGTACTGTTCAGCTTGCCCATTTCTCTTAAAAGGGATGCAAAGACAGTATTTCATCCCATTTCTTGGAGGGTAGAGCCGAGGATTTTGTTCAGTATCTGTATGACAAAATCACTCAGATTCGGGAAGATTTGGACTCCGACTGGGTAGTCTCAGGGGGAGAGACAGGGGCAGGTCTTGAGAATGTTATCTGGGATGAGTTTGATCCTGTGACCCCTGAGGACGTGGACAGGATTCTGGGTAGACTGAACGCGACCACTTGTTTATTGGACCCGTGTCCTTCCTGGTTAGTACTGGCTTCCCGGGAAGTGACACGAGGCTGGCTCCAGGGGATTATAAACGCTTCGCTGAGTGAGGGTGACTTTCCCGCCGCCTTGAAAGAGGCGGTGGTGAGGCCTCTCCTCAAGAAGCCTTCCCTGGACCCGGCAATGTTGGTAAATTATCGTCCGGTCTCCAATCTTCGCTTTGTTGCGAAGGTTGTTGAGAGTGTGGTCGCGCAACAGCTCCCCCAGCACCTGGATGAAACGACGTATCTGGATCCGTTCCAGTCGGGCTTCAGGCCCGGGTACAGCACGGAAACGGCATTGGTCGCGTTGGTTGATGATCTCTGGAGGGCTCGGGACAGGGGGTGCTCCTCTGTCCTGGTCCTGTTAGATCTCTCAGCGGCTTTTGATACCATCGACCATGGTATCATGCTGCACCGGTTGGAAGAGTTGGGGGTGGGAGGCACTGTGTTGCGGTGGTTCTCCTTTCTCTCTGACCGGTCGCAGTCTGTGTTGACAGGGGGACAGAGGTCGACCCCGAGGCCCCTCATATGTGGGGTGCCGCAAGGGTCGGTCCTCTCGCCTCTCCTGTTCAACATTTATGTGAAGCCGCTGGGCGAGATCATCCGTGGTTTTGGGGTGGAGTACCATCAGTACGCTGACAACACCCAGCTGTACATCTCCACCCCGGATCACCCCAACGATGCCCTTGAAGTGATGTCCCGGTGCCTGGAGGCCGTACGGATCTGGATGGGGAGGAACAGGCTCAGGCTCAACCCATCCAAGACTGAGTGGCTGTGGTTTCCGACGTCCCGATATAGTCAGTTGACGCCATCACTGACTATTGGGGGCGAATCATTGGCCCCCACGGAGAGGGCTCGCAACTTGGGCGTCCTCCTGGACTCACGGCTGTCTTTAGAAGAGCACTTGACGGCCGTGACCGGGAGGATTTTTCAGGTTCGCCTGATTCGCCAGTTGCGTCCCTTTCTGGATCGGGACTCTTTACGCACGGTCACTCATGCCCTTGTCACCTCCCGCCTGGACTATTGCAACGCTCTCTACATGGGGCTCCCCTTGAGGAGCACCCGGAGGCTCCAACTGGCGCAGAGTGCGGCCGCGCGGGTGGTAATGGGAGCGACATGGCGTTCCCATGTAACACCTCTCCTGCGCGAGCTGCACTGGCTCCCGGTGGTCTTCCGGGTGCGCTTCAAGGTTTTGGTTACCACCTTTAAAGCGCTCCATGGCTTAGGACCCGGGTACTTGCGGGACCGCCTACTACCAC